GACAGCCATTATTTGTCTACATGTTCAGTAAATTAATTCTCTTGAGAGCGCTTAAGACCTGAAAGTTTTTTGTTTATTTCATTTGCACACATGATAATAATTGTCTCCATCATCAGATTATGTCGCTTTGAGTTTTTATCAAATGGATAATGAAGTCTTTTTCTTTTTTACATTCACAGGCAAAATGTCCCCTTAACGGTTGGTACTTCATTATTCTTTTTCAAGTATTGATGCAAAGGGAGAGGCCTGGTTCGGCTCAGTTTGTTGAACAGGAGCCCCCAAAATACTGAGTCCTTGATGCACTGGTTGTTGGTTCGACTCCCGGCCTGGTGCACGTCATCAATCATCCAGAGCCTCAGCCAGTGCTTTATGAATATATCAAAGTAGATAATCAGCAGACTTTGTTTCACACATGTTGACTAAATTCATCAACTCAACAGGAATGGACACAGCTCTTTATGTGTTTATAATTATATCATATTTAAAGTCTTTCTAACATGACGCTTGTGTTGCAGGGGATTGCTGTAAGGGCTGCCCTGAAGGCTGGGCTGAAATCGCGGGTCAATGTTACATGTTCAACAACAAGCCGATGGACTGGTGCGATGCTGAGGTACTGGAAACCCCCGCTCTGATGTCATCATTTTAACATCACCACCATTGATTGTTACATTACATATATATTTTCACATCTGCTTTAGGCCCATTGCATATCTGAAGGAGGAAACCTGGCCGCCATCCTCGAAGGGGATCATGCGCAACAGTTCAGAGAGATGGTGGTTAAGGCAGCAGGTAAAGAAATACCTGTGTGGATCGGAGGCTACGATGCAGTGAAGGTGAGTGATGCTGAGTTTGATTAGTGACATGAAGTAAACTGAAACATGGAGAGAAAATAATTGTCAAAGCTAGAAGCTGTGAAGGGATGTCGTTCCTGCAAAACTTAAAGGACTAAAATGCAGACGTTGAAGGAGAGGACTGACAGTCTGATGTGAGGTAAACGGGCGAGGACGAAGACAACAGTCTCAAAAACAAAGCTGCTTCAGATACATCTTTTAGGCCTTTACAAAGCTGTGGCGGGCTTCAAGGAGCACAGAAAGACTCTGACCCAGGGGCGTCTCCAGAAGGGTCGCCAGGGGTGGCATGGGGCCCCCCTTGAAATCTTTTTGGCCACCCCAGGTGCAACTGCAAAATCTTTCACTATTATTGGCTATTTGACATGCCAAGAGGCGGGACTTGTTATGAAATCCATCATTCAGGCTGTGTTTGCATCAGGGAGTTCACAGTTTTCAGCATGCAGATGTTTGTTTAAATTGTTTTGAGTCCTTGAGAAGATGTACAAGTTGCCGTTATCTTGTGTAACTTAAACACCAATGTGATTGGTGTAGACAGAAAGGGGTAAATAAATGCTCTTCATTCATGTGTGAGCACACCCCTGCACAAGAAGGGGCCCCCCAGGTGGGTCTGGACACGCCCCCTGCCCTGACGGATCATGAGCGAGGATTCTCTAGAGCGGGGGATCTCAAACTTCAAGGTTTAGATCCAGTAGAAAGACTTCTAACTTCATGAACCGTTATTTCCCTGAATGTGTTTCAAGTCAGGGAGAGTAGAAAAGTCTGTCATGTTTCCATTCAGTGACGTGAGGCTTTTTTCTTTCAGGAGGGGAAATGGAAATGGAGTAACGGTAAAAAATGTGTGTTCAGTGGCTGGGGCCCAAATGAGCCAAGCAACAGTAAAGATGAAAACTGCATGGCAATCGGGGACAAAGGTAAGAGTCTACTGTCTCTATTCAATGAAGTCTTTGCGGCTGATGAGTCCAGAAAGTGTAGATTTTTAAATCAATGTGTTGTGTGTGTGTGTGTGTGTGTGTCTTACAGAGAATCAACCCATCGAGGACGACAAATGTGACGTGAAGAAAGCGTTCCTGTGTGCGAGGGAGCTTGCTAAAAGGGAGTGATGACGCGGCATCATCTGTGATTCTCTCCGTCATTCTGCTCCTTGAGAACAGCAGTGCTTCAAGATTTGCTGACGTTTCTGTTTGATTGAAAATGTAATACCAATAAAGAAATTCTACTCAACATTCATTCTGATCTCATGTTTTTAATGTGTCTGGGGGCTGCATGGGGGTGCAGTGGTTAGCGCTGTTGGCTCACGCAATGAGGGCTTGAATCCCCGTCTGACTGGAGCCTCTCTCTGTGTGGAGTTTGCATGTTCTCTCCCACAGTCCAAAGACATGCTCGTTAGGTTAATTGGTGACTAATTTGTGAAATTGCCCGTAGCTGTGACTGACTGACAAACCAGTCCAGGATGTAACCCAGTCTGTGCTGTGCTTTGATCAAAATATAACATGAATCAAGCACCAGAGGAGGTTTGTGACCCTGTATAAACCAGCTCTCTCAGAACGCCCCGTTTTGGTGTGTGTGTCTCTTTAAATGCAATGACCCCGCCCCCCGAGTTTTCCCCGTAGACATCACTCCTTTGATAGCGAGAATAAAAATGGGGGACCTGTGTAAAAGTTTTGCTCTAGTCTGGGGGTGGAGTCCATGGGTGGAGATATCAGGGGAGGGGAGGGGATTTTTTTTTTAAACCAGAATCCCACTGTGACATCACAAGGAGAGCACATTTGAAACAGAGCATTTTCCTCTGTGTTGTAAGACTTATGCAGACCACAAACAAAGGACTGGATGGGTTTATTTCACATGTTGTGGGTCAGTAGACTCTCAGGTTACACAGATATATGTTCAACAACACTGAAGAAGAGGATTTTTCACAATATGTCCCCTTTAAACCGCTGTAGTTGCTCAAAATTTGCTAATTTTGCAATGACAGTAGGAAACCTCCCTAAGGGGGCCCCTTCTGACAGCACTCACTCTCATTGCACTGTTAAGCATCGCACGCTTTCCTTTGGAAAACCAAAGTTTATTACAGAAAGTCACTGAAGCAAAATGAAGAGGAGTTATCAGTCTCAACAAAAGCACGCTGTTTGTGAGGGGGCGGAGTTAACAGCACTGTGTTTTAAGACAACGCTGCTGGCCAAAGTGCAAAGATGTGCTTTTTTGTAACAATATGAGCCCCATCCTGCCCTGTCAGCCTTCAGCACTTATTGGCGTTGTTCTGTTATTTCATGTGGTCCAGCACTTTACAATAATAGCACCTGCAATAGAGCGCCACAGGAATGAGTCCTAAAACCAGGAAGTAAGTTAGCATTTGAGCGCCATGGGGTCTAACGTCTAAAAGTCAACGTGGATTTTGAATGTGTTTGTGGTTAGACTCCTGAAATAAGGTCTGTGGTTAACACAAGCTGAAGAGATGTTGGTGTTTTGTTAGAGCACATAAACTACGTTAGGTAATACCTCCACTTGTGAAGTTTGAAGTTTTTACTCGTCTTTAAAAAGGCGGTTGCTAACAAGCGGCTAAATGTGACTACAGTGGTTGTCGGGGACATTAAAGGTCATCACGCCGGACACAGAGGGCGGGAACTCTCTCACTAGTCGGAGATGTCTCCTGTAGGTTTAATCTTTAGGTTAAGGTGAATATTATGTTAGTAAACTATTTATTAAGCTACGTGGATTAGTTTATCGGAGATCGTCTGAAGCATAACGCTAGTGACGTCACAATCATCCCACCGTGGTGTAGTTAGCTTGTAGCATAACGTTAGCTTTTTACTTCTGTCGGCCGCATTAACGCTTCAAACATCATAAAGATGGCGTTCATCTGTGAAGATTATCCTGCTGAACAAAACGCCTACGCTTCAGAAACGTGTTTAACACAGAGATTATTTTCTGCAATGATCCAAAACCCAATGAAAACATCCCAGAGGAGGATTCTCATTAGACCCCATGGAGATGCTACTTCCTGGTTGGCCTAGAAAAATACGTCACATGGTTTGTTCTCTATTGCATCTGACGGAGGCTGCATAGTTTTTCTAAATTCAATAAGGAGCTCATCAGATTTCTTGTCTTTGAGTTGGACTGAATGCCCTCCCGCAGCAGTGGATGAAACACATGTTCGGAAAACTAAGAAGGTGTGTCCACCGTCCTGTTGCACAGACAGTTTTCGCCTACTGCGTATCCTGTTGTGGCTTTGTTTGTCAAAGAGATTTGGCAGATGTGGCCGGGCTTTTTAGTCAACATTAACTGAAGATCTCTAAATGATCAACTATTAGCGAATCACATCACACAAACGATTATGTCACACACAAGGTCAGGAGAGGACTATAGGTCAGCTGGTTGTTGAAGATACACCTGTTTACAGCTGCCTTTAACTAAACAGCTTTAATAAGATTTGAAACTTTTACTCTGCACTGTAATTATTATTATTATTATTATTTTAACTCTTTTAATTTTTAATTCGATTTTTTTATATTAATTTCATTTTAATTATTTTTATTTGAACATATTTTCAGATTTAATCATTTCAGAGATTTTTTAAATGTTCTATTTTAATGTTTCTTTTCTTTCCTCTGTCATGATGCTTTTTGATGTCTTGTGTGAAGCACTTTGAATTGCCTTGTTGAAATGTGTGACATAAACTTGCCTTGCCTTGCCTATAGACACTTTGAAGTGTGTGTTTTTTGCCTTTTCTCACACTTTACATCACGTCCAAAAACTGTGAAGTGCATGAAATGGAATTAGTTCAATCTCTGGGGAGCGAGTGCAAAATGTGTAGAACACCTTTTTATTCATAAATGAAACAAATGTAAAAGTGCAACAAAAAGTCCCTCAAGTGTCCACTAGAGCCTTTAGCTTGGTTACAGTGAGTGACAGGAAGAGTGTTTGTCACACATTTATTTATTTGTCGGTCTAAGCCTAGAAGTCAGGATTGTTGTTAGCTTTTCCCAGCAGAGGCACTGCGACACCGATGCTGTTCCTTTTTTCACCTGCTGCTCCCTCAGTGGAGACTTTGAGCCTGTTGATTGGCCGCTTCATCCTCAAGCTCTCTAAGCTTCTTTAGTGTGATAATCAAACAACTGTGGTCAGCCACCTCCATAAATATGTTACCGCTCGATGGTAAACGTGAGGTATAAGTAGCTCATTATCCAGATAACAAATCATCTGTAGGTGTAGACTGTCTGCTCCCCTGACCTGGCCGAGGGGAGCCGGGGAGGAGTGTTTCTTAACCCTGCAGAGGTCTGAATGTAAACACAAAGTCAGACTTGTGTTCAGTTTGGCTGCAGGATTTATTCTGCTCATAACGTAATCTACAATGATTTCTTGAGATATTGAAATACACTAAATTGCATCGAGTAACTTCTATAGTTTTCATATATATCACAATATCTTCAGAAAATGACCAGTAACTTAATCAAATGTAAAGGTTAACCTGAAGTAGAGTAAATAACCATACATGTCTGTCAGTCAATACTCTCCAGTTTCCTTTAAATCTTAAACATGCATCTTTTCTGTTTTTCATTACATCACATATTTAACAATACACAACGTTGCCCTGAGTAGCTGTCGTCTTTTCTTACTGGAATTACTCATTGTCAGGTATCTCACATTCCCACATAACTAATGTCCATGAGAAACACACACACATTAGATAGAACATGAAACGTTTACATTAGCTCTCTGTATGATTTCTGAATCATTAACAAAATAAAACAAACACCTTTAATGTGTCTCAGTATTTCCACGTGTTCTGTGATGTTACTATGCATTAGCAACAGATTGATAGATAGATCTTTATTTTCATTGCATGTTGTACAACGAACAGCTGCGCTAGCCTAGCATGCTAGTGTGCAGCTTAACATCTCTATTTTTCACACAGAACGGTAAAAATAGTCGACCTTCAACATTATACTTTACTGACAAAATTCAAAACACTGGTGTCCATGCGTGTGGCTTAGAGGACAATAAACCCACCTGAAAGCAAATACAAAGAGGCAACAAAGTCAGACTTGCGTTCAGCTCGGCTGCAGGATTTATTCTGCAGCATTTGTCTCTTTAGGATATAATGCTCCTCACAAGCACTAAGCGTCCTCTAGTGACATGATTGAGTATTGCAATAACACTGTAACAAGTTTAGTGCTCTGAAATGTGGCTTTAAATTGTTATTTTAGACAAATACACATGAATACAAAATAACTTGAACTGTATTTTCATCATATAATGAACTTATCCTCTGTCCCAATGACTTTTAGCATATTGATGCAATTTTTCAAATCTTGTAATCCATTTTTAACGTTTTAATAACCTTTGTTTTTAGCTTAAGACAATATGGATTTAAATTAATTATGTACACATCTCTTCAACCCTTTACACTAACATGGTGTTTGCCAACCCTTTGCTCCTCTGCAGCACCACCTACTTATCTAAATACGGTCACTTATGTCTCCACACACCAACCTGAATGTCTATCATCTGAGTGATCTGAAGGTGGTGTTTAGTCATCCATTACCGGGCGATAAATAAAATGATCCTATGTAACATTTGTCTGTCAGCGAGCATCTTTAGGTCAGAGCAGCATGTGATCATTACAGAGCAGCTCGTCGTGCTTCAGGTCACTGATGAAGCTAACGAGCTGGTAGAATGACACACAGCAGCTGGCTGATTTTTCTTTATTTCTCCGTTATGAAATCAGGACGTTGTTGTTGTCTTAGATGTAAAATCTAAAAAAGTTAAGATCTCCTGGTTAAGATTACCTTCATCAGCAGCTGGCAGCGCCCACAAACTGGCTGTATACAGATCAGTCTATATGTGAACTCTCCTGTGTGCATCTTGTAATAATCGACTTTTTTGCCATTTATGAGGTGTTACGTTATTTCACATCTGTTCACTCTCATTGTTGTGTATCATCTCTCGGCTTCCTCCCACAGTCTTTAACGTGTGGATTGAGGTCGGGAAATATTCTTAGTTTTTCAAGAGATTTGTGCGAGTGTGAAAGCCCTATTTCACACTCGCAGAAATTCCAGAAAAACTCCTGATATTTCCCTGGAGGAGCTGTATGTGTGAACACAAACAGACAGAGTTTTCGCTCGGACTTCAGTCAGACTCTTTGTATTTTTTCTGCAGCAAGTCCGAGTGAGCTGATGTAGCAGGATATTCTCCAGAGAATTCATCTCGAGCCAATAGGAGGGGGGAAGCATTTATTCCCTGTGATCGCTGCACGGTGCATAAAGTGTCTGCATGGGACCTCTACCATCTCCGTGCTCTAATGAACCTGCTGCATGTTTCCTGTTCTCCAGTATGTTCTTCTCCACTCTTTAGTTCACATTGTGATTCTGTTCAACTACTTGAAAAAATTCTCTTCAACAAAGAGTCTCTGTTATAGTGATGTCTAATATAAAAGAGTCAGCAGGCAGTTGATCTGCTTATTTTCCTTTCATTATTTGACAAAATTATTGGTATGAAAACTCAGCAGTAGTTGAATATTGCTGCAGATTTCTGTCCCCTAGTTGCTCCTGTCAAACAGTTCAACGTGTCTGTGGGGTGAACTCATGGTGCAGCCGATCGTCGGATGATATCCTGGTTTTATTTCACTCGATCATCGCCTCCACATGTCGCATCCCAGGCAATTATTTTCAAGTAACAGGTTAACCTTTACTCAAGGCTCTGGCATGTTGTCATCAGCGCTAAATGCAATGCCAATATTGTCCCATGATCACCTTATTGCATGCAAATGTATTAATCAAACAATGTTTAAAAAATGGTATATAAAGAGTGGCTCTCTTTCAAGACGTTAATGCGAGCACTCTGCACATCCAGCCTCATCTGATCACGACAAGGTAAGGGTTTGAATCTTACCTTCCACCTCTGCAGCGTCTTTATCTGATATGAAACAGAACACATGTACAGTCAAGTATCAAAATACAACCAAGAAAAAACTATATTTAGTGCAGAGTGAACAAGGACCGTGTGTTTGTTAGGCTATCTGATCGCATTATTACAATACTACATGTAGGTCTATGTTCTTCTTTAAAGTGCTTATAACAAATGTTAGAGTGAGAGTAAAAGTAGTAAAAACAACCGTCTGCAAGGTCGACATAGTCCGAGAGATGACTTGAATGAAGTGTTCTGAGATTTGAATCGAGTTATCGTGCTCACTGGAGTAAAGAAGGGAAGGAAATGTGGATCAAGTGAACGATCTTCAAGTTAAAGATGCAACAGTTTAATGTGGACCTGTTTTAAAATCATGTATAGGTTTCTATGAATCAATATTAGAAACTGACAGGCTAATGAATGATTGATGAAAAAGGGGAGGGATTCAATACGTTTATACTTCTTCCCACTCCTTATTTGACGTGTAAACTGAAGAAACAAGTATTTGAAATAATAAGCACCTTCCACAGATACACATCACAAAGTGCTTAACTTTAAAGGTGACATATCCTCCTCCTCCTCTTCAGTTTAAATAAGTCTTAGAGCTCCTCAAAACGTGTGTGAAGTTTCTTGTTCTAAATCCACTCTGATCCTGTATTTGATCATGCCTATAAATCCCTCTATTTCAGCCCTGCTCAGAACAGGCTGTTTCTGTGTCTGTACCTTTAAATATGTAAATGAGCTGTGTCTGACCACGCCCCCTCTCTGGAAGGACTTGGGTGTACTCGGTGCTTTCTCGCTCCATGTCTTATTGTTTACGGTGAGAAGGCAGACTCAGAGGGCAGAACAAACACCTAGCTGTGGGAGTGTCACCCACCTGGGGGAGGGGCTACTACCCTTTGTGATGTCATGAAGGGAACATCTCCAAAAGGCCTGTTTGAGCACACATTTTCTAAAAAGTGGAGCAGGCAGAAGACGGAGAGGATGGACTTTTCTCATCATTGGGAGGTTTGTAGACAGACTAGAGACACATGTTAGAGTTAGAGAAACATGGTTAAACACCTTTAAAACAAGGACACAATGAAAGAAAAGAAAATAGCAAAGAATAATACAAAGCACAGGGCTGACAGTTTAAATCATAGCAACAATAAAACACAACTACAACCAAAGTGCTTGTCTGAATAAAAATGTTTTCAGCCATTTTATGAAGGTGTAACAGGAATCTAGTGTTGTGGATTTTTCTGTTGGTAATGAAAGATCTCAAGTCAAAGTATTTTGTCTTTGTGTATTTTATTGCATATAGTACTACTTAAGAGTTCTTTTGCAAAAGGGGTAATGAGCTACAAAAGTAACATCAGTCACAAGTGCATCAAAGATTCCCGGGGCAGTCCTGGTTGCAGAGCATATTTATACTTTCACAGGGTGTAGGTATATTACATAGACATGAGTAATACATCGTCATTGGTTTCAGCTTGCCCTAGTGACTACGCCTTCTGCTAGTTTGCCTGGTGATTTATCTAACACCAACAGAAACTCCTTTGTTCGGAGGGCACTGATTTAGGATCATGCTGATCCTGAGGGGAGTTCCTGTTGGAGATACAGACCAAGACCTCTTTCACAGGATAACGTAATAATCCACATTTGATCTTCACACAGATGGAGTCAGCTTTTCGTCTCTTTGTGCTCCTTGGCTTGAGCTGTGGACTGTGGTTGGGAGCAGATGTAAGTGTGATTTGACTTCTGATTTCTCTATACATATTCATATTTACACGTCTATAAATGTATACATTCATACATAAACATAAAACTGAATTATTATTTACTCGTAGTAACGAGTTATAACCTAACCAGCTATGAGGTCAGCGAGGTCAGGCCCTCTGGGATTTTTTCAAAAATAAGACAGCAAGAATTGTATGACGCACTAGATGGCTTTTACTTTGTAAGTACTCGCACATAAATGCTACAAAGTTCTGGCCCGCCCTACACTGCTTCTGTGGTTCTCACTCTTCCTCATAGATTAGGCGGCCGCCTTTACAACACGCACCCACCTTCTAGTTGTGCGGAAAAAAAACAACCTCTCCACCGCCTTCTGCGGGTCACCCACTTCAGTAAATGTGTGGTCAGGTGTATAGCTTGTGTTGCATTTGAAAGTATCATTTGGGGATGAATTCTGCATGACCAGAAACACCTCAAATACGATACATTAGGAGAAAAAATTCTGGACCTCACTATTTTCGAAACCCCGGTTACCGCCCTGAGTAATCGTACTTTCATTTGTGTTTCAAAAAGACTTTGAATCAGTCCACAATCCCAATAAATAATCATTTAATTGATGAGGTTTTCAGGACATCACCCATAATGCCTAAAAACTAGAAGTTGTTTTATTCATGATATAAATATTATGTCTCCAAAGACAGTTTGTGTGAAGGAATCTGAACTACACAAGTCTAATCCTCAGCCTTTAAAAAGTCATATTTATGTTTTAATATCCTTTTTACAGAGTCCATAAAGTCTTCCAAGATGATTGCTTGTGTTTTTGCGCATAAGATGATAGTCTGAAAAGTCCTGCTTTATTCTCATCACAGTTATTTCTAGTTGACTTCACAGCTAATAATCATGTTTTCTTGACATTCACAGGCAAAATGTGACAAAAAAGGTGGGTACTTCTTTGTTCTTTTAACCCAATCACACAACCGCCATTAACATCTGTCATCAGCCAGAGCTCAGATTTCTCCGATTAGATTCACTTTGTTCAGGCTCCTGTTGCCTTATGTTCTGACTCCACCTGACTTGTAAACTGAGCACGCTTCATGATCACGTTACGCCATGCATGAGTTGTATTACGCTGTTATGTACGAGAGGTCACCGTGCTCAGGCCCGGTTAGTCCTGGAGCAGTGTGAGTGCAGGCCAGAAGGGGGAATGGGGAGTGGACGGCAATCATGCTTCAGCACTGTATGGGACAACTGGGTCCACACCTCAAAATAAGAAATGTGAAAACATTTGCTGCTTACATCCAGAGCTGGTGATTGGCAACTGCTTATGGCCTCAGGTCACATAAAAACCCTTTTCACACATACGGAAATCTCCTGAAAAACTCCAGAGATTTGGCCACCGGGGGTTCTTTAGGCTATGTGTGAACACAACAGCCGAATTCTTCGCGCTGACTTTATCCAGAGTTTCTCCGGCCAGACCCCTAGTATTTTTTCTGTAGAAAGTCAGAGTGAGCTGATGTCTGAACACATCAGCATATACACCAGAAATTTCAATTCAAGCCAATAGAAAGAGAACAACGTTTATATAGTGACTGCATAAAGTGTCTGCACGCGACCTCTACGATCTCCGTGCTCTAATTAAACGGCTTCATTATGTTTTCTGTTCGTCAGTATGTTGTTCTCCTCTCTTTAGTGGATGTTGTCATTCCATTGGATTACACATAGCATTGATATAAAGGCAAATATTCTCATTATAACGTTGTGTAGTGGCCTCTGTTGCTTCGGCTGCTACTTCCACGTTGTTTTTTTACGTCACGCCTTACCTCAGTAACGTACATACACTTTATAAAGTGTTTGTTAATGATGACCAAATAATTTATAAACCTTTAAGAGATGGTTTATAAAACATCTAAAAACATTACAGAGACACATGGACCAGATATTTGTTCATGGTTTGTAAATATTTCATAAAGCGTCTATTAATATTATTTGGATGGTTATTATAAAGTTGGAATTGAAGATTATAATCCCTTATTGACACTTTGTAAAGCATCTATAAATATTTTTTAGATAGATAATTAACATTTTATCAATGATTAATAATTGGTTTATAAACCATCTACAAGCATTATTAGCAAACATTATTAACTATAATTTCATTGTTTGTTAACAGTAAATAACTATTAACTAATGGTTAATTAACTATCTATTTACCCTTTATAGATGATGGTTATTATAAAGTGTTACCCAATTAATTTTTGCCTTGGACCCCAATAGACTCTAGTGACCTCTACATATGAACTGCTGGAAAGAGCATTCTTCTCATGTATCTTTACAGTACTGGTTGCAGTACTGGGAATAGCAACAAGCAGGGCATATGTGGTGATTAGAAAGGGGATGATGGGGGGATGAGGCATGACTATGGTCTTCCTGATATTGTAGCTATAATATGTAAATAGTATCCTATGTCTTAATCATATTTTTTTTTTACAGTGATTAACATGACATTTGCATTGTAGGAAATTGCTGTATGGTCTGCCCTGAAGGTTGGCTTGAGCTGAACTCCCGCTGTTTTAAGTTCATCTTCGATGAAAAGGATTGGGATGATGCTGAGGTACTATAAATAAAAAATCATATCATTTTAGCGCAGGCTTCATTCATTTACCCTACTCCTACAGCGTCTTCTTACTTTGTTTCCCCGTAGGACAGCTGCATTGAACAAGAAGGAAATCTGGCTTCCATCCATAGCGATGAGGATTACGCTGCACTCAGGGATTTGGTGAAAACTTCGACAGGACTCGATAAACAAACTTGGGTGGGCGGGTATGATGCAGTCAAGGTCAGTGGTTTTATATATCATTTAGTATTGCTTAAAGTATGTATGAAACCACAATACAGACACATACTGTTTACGTTCAATCAATCAATTGATCTTTATTATGCCAGCTCATGACAAATTGAATCCAAGACCCTTCACAAAGAGAAATGGTATGGACCGTAATTTTTGTATATTATTTACAGTCTGTGTTCATGGTGGCTGAATGTTGGTTTTTTGTAAATTGATTGATTGATTGATTGATTAATCCACAATGAGCAAAGCAATTTGCAGCCGTGAGGCCAACCAGAATGGCAGATCAGTTGAGGGAGGTGGCCCAGAGACCAACCATGCAAGCAGACCAGGTACAGAGGGTGGCCAGGAGGCCGACCAGGTGAGGACCAGACCTCAGAATGGGGACCAGGAAGAGGTGTTAGCCAAACCGGGAGAACCAAGAATCAGCCTACAGGACCGCCAAGGTGGGACCATGAGGACCAGATCAGAATGGACCCCCCCACTCTGCAACAGGGTGCTAGAGGAGCTTAGCAGGAACAGGAAGCAGACGGCACTCAATGAGCACAGGGGGTACACGACGTGTTGCTGGAAAAGGAGGCGGACTGCGCTCTGCCAGAACTGGGGCACAGGGTGGCCGAGGCTCGGGGGAGCACAGAGGCAGAGTCATTGGGGAGCACAGGGGCAGAGTCACTAGGGACCTGGGTAGTTGAGGTTCTGGAAGGCAGGAAGACCGGGGCTCAGGGTAGTCGGAAGGCCGAGGCTTAGGCAAGTCAGGAGGCCTGGTCTCTGGGGCGCTGGGCAGCAAAGACTCTGGGAAGCTGGGCAGCAAAGACTCTGGGAAGCTGGGCAGCAAAGACTCTGGGAAGCAGCAAAGACTCTGGGAAGCTGGGCAGCAAAGACTCTGGGAAGCTGGGCAGCAAAGACTCTGGGACGCTGGGCAGCAAAGACTCTGGGACGCTGAGCAGCAAAGACTCTGGGAAGCTGGGCAGCAAAGACTCTGGGAAGCTGGGCAGCAAAGACTCTGGGAAGCTGGGCAGCAAAGACTCTGGGAAGCTGGGCAGCAAAGACTCTGGGAAGCTGGGCAGCAAAGACTCTGGGAAGCAGCAAAGACTCTCCGAAGCTGGGCAGCAAAGACTCTGGGAAGCTGGGCAGCAAAGACTCTGGGACACTGAGCAGCAAAGACTCTGGGACGCTGGGCAGCAAAGACTCTGGGAAGCTGGGCAGCAAAGACTCTGGGAAGCAGCAAAGACTCTGGGAAGCTGGGCAGCAAAGACTCTGGGAAGCTGGGCAGCAAAGACTCTGGGAAGCTGGGCAGCAAAGACTCTGGGACACTGGGCAGCAAAGACTCTGGGAAGCTGGGCAGCAAAGACTCTGGGAAGCAGCAAAGACTCTCGGAAGCTGGGCAGCAAAGACTCTGGGAAGCTGGGCAGCAAAGACTCTGGGACGCTGGGCAGCAAAGACTCTGGGACGCTGAGCAGCAAAGACTCTGGGGCGCTGGGCAGCAAAGACTCTGGGAAGCTGGGCAGCAAAGACTCTGGGACGCTGGGCAGCAAAGACTCTGGGAAGCAGCAAAGACTCTCGGAAGCTGGGCAGCAAAGACTCTGGGAAGCTGGGTTGTGGAGTCTCAGAGGAAATAAAAAGGTCTGTAATCCACACAGGCAATGAGTGCCTGAGCCACGGCTTGGAAGCCACTTTTTGCGGGCCATTGAGATTGTGGCTTTTCCGACCATTTCTGAAGGGAGTCACTTTCCAAATCTTTAATCCAAAGCAGGTCAAAAAATTAAAGTTCATTACACTCTGCCACGTCCTTAAGTCAACCTAAAATATTTATCTGAACAAAAGGTAACAGTCCAAAAACAAAGGCTTACCAAAAGCAGAAAACCAAAGGGGAATGTCAAACAACTTTTCAAATATTATGTAATAAATGAAGTTATTATAATTTTATAAATCTACTCACTGACTGTTTTATCTTTCTTTCAGGAGGGATGTTGGAGATGGTCTGATGGCTCATCTTTTAATTTCAACAACTGGGGCCCTCAAGAGCCAAACAACTTTGGCAAGGGCGAACATTGCCTGGAGCTGAACTTTAACAGTGTGTATCCAATACCTGTTTTTAATTTATTTTATTGAAATGCATATATACCCTTACTGGTTGTGTTTTTCCTCTAACCATAAGACGCTTTTTCCAAAAAGTCAAGCGGAGTGTATTGTCTGAAGCCTTTGTGTTGTGTATGTCTCTACCTGCAGAGAAAGACTGGAGCAACGACTGGTACTGTAGGTTCAAAAGATCCTACATCTGTGGAAGGGACAAGGTGAAGGCGAACCAGGACTGAAAAAGTAGCATCTCCAGCTAACCATCTAAGAGGCCACTTCACTGTCTCTGCGAGGCCTGGATGACACAAGTGGTTGAAGATTTATTGACATGATGATTTACTGAATGTTTCAATAAACCAAATCTCACCAAGCAATAATTCTGAGCTTTTTTGTTAATTCATTGTTCCATATTATTTATGTAGATGTTTTGTTTTCAATGGGTTATAGGGTTGTTAAAAAAGCTGACGTGTGACTGCTTGAAAAATGCTCCGTTCCGTCATTACATTTAAAGAGACACACACACCAAAACGGAGCGTACTGAGAGAGCTAGTTTATACAGGGTCACAAACCTCCTCTGGTGCTTGATTCATGTTATATTTTGACCAAAGCACAGCACAGATGTTTCATTTAGACCACAGGGGGACTGTTTGAAAAGGTGGAGGAGGGGACTGTTTGAAAAGGTGGAGGAGGGGGAGAATATGTCCTCTTTAAAAAATGTACTAAACCTATTTAATTTTTTTGTTGAGTTCTTACATCACCTCGAATATTTCCAACAGTTTTCAAAGCCAGAGAAGTCCGTAATTTTAGAGTTGTAACGGGATGTGTCTTGTCATGGCGTCAGCTTTTGTTATTGTATTCATTGAGAGCCCCCTAGTGGCAGAACAACTTTCCACCTAAACACAAACTTTCCATATCATCTGCTCTATTCCAGTTTAAAATGATGTTGAACCATTATTTACTGTCTGTGTTTACAGCAAATTTTGAATGTTTGTTAGTCACATAAAGGCAGATTTGTTGTCATGATGACCAGGAAGACATGGACCTTTTTTTTTAACATATGTATTGAAAGAGCAAATACAGCCCAGATCTTTTTGCATAACACGATTAAATATGCACCACAGCAGCAGGAGACTATTTGCTCTGTAGTATATTAAGGGATGTGTTTGTCTTTGCTTTGAAAAATAAGAAATGTATTTAATCTGTTATTTAGCGCAGGTTAGGCTGCAAAAACTGAACAATCCTTTTTGTAAGGTGCTTTACATCCTTCGGCAACCTAAATATGATCGTGACACTCTTGAAGGACGTTGTAGTTTTGCTAAAATGTCCTGTTCAAGTCATTTGAACAGGAGGCATTTAGAAAAGTGTTAAATGGCTCTGCCAGCCGGGCCAGAGGAAGCACTGGTGATGGATGGCTGGGAGAGCTGCGGGAGTGCTGGAGATCCTGCACGTGACGCTTTGATCAATGTGCCAGGCGGGAGATGTAGTGCCTGCCATGTTCAGACCCCATTATGTTATCCAACATTTCATTTTGCATCCAGGTGAAGGTTAACGAGACAGAGAAGTGCCCATTAAATGGTCAGCTGATTGTTGTTCTTCTCTCCCATGAATGACACTATTCACACGGGTTCAGTACGGCATGGGAAGTGTTTTTGATCCATGAGAGAATCAACCATGTCTCCAATTTGTAAAGTTAAATAGCCAGGGCAAATTTTGACAAATTCAGCCGGCTCATGTCGCGACATAGTTGGAGAGCCATTGGCAGAAAGAGCAAACTAAAACCAATTAGCAGAAGCCGATGTCAAGAGAGGCAACAGGCTGTACACTGTGAAGTGGGATTCTGCCACCTTACACACACATCCCTGTTTTTTTAATTGTCCTGCAAATCAATTGAGTCCTGTGTGCAAGATGATTGTGTCAATGCAGGACAAAGGTGATTGCAGCTTTACCAAAGGACAATTTTGTCTGCCGCTCGCGCTTAATTTTGCTTATTTATGGTGCGTTCCAATTCATAACTCCTTCGTGTGAACGCGAGTTGAGGGGGGTTGGAGGTGTCTCTGTAGGAGAGCGGAGGCTTCAGTATGGAGGAGGCGTGGCCTAACAGCAGTTTGTTTTGGTTTCATGCTGGTGCTCAAGGGTGACATCTACTGGATCAAAAAGTTCTTCACATTCTTTCCTTTCAACAAGACACATTTGACCTCTGTGTTTTACACTATTTCCACCTCAACTTGTAAAAGACAGACTTTTATATAAGTGTGCATGTTGGCAGGTTCAGCTTGATTAACTGCAGACCTTGTGATTAAACGATTAAGGTCCTGGTTTCTGATCTTATCATACTGAGTCTAAGTCCTGAAGCTAGTGCACTGGAAGAAAAAATACTTTCAAGAGGAATAAAGAGATTTTGGCTTCATGCTGTTACACTGTTGATGTTATCATCAAAGTATTTTTGTTTTGGGAGAAGGAATTGGTGCTTAAAAGTGAATACGTTCACGGTGCCTCCCTGGGCTGTTGTTAATATGACCGAGCAGCGTGCACCGCTCCGACACAGCAGACTCCAGACGGGCCTTTGAGGATTCTTTTTGTCAGTGAACAGAATCTCAGTCCACATGGAGCCCTCCCTCCTCGCAGCCAGCAGACGTCCTACATGCTGTTTCTGCTGCTGCTGGTTTTGATCTCAAAGAACTGAGGACATTTAAAAGATATCTGTGACGTGGACAGACTGACAATACGGGGAGGAATGAGCAGCTATTTCCACGCTTAATTACACCGTTTTAAGAAGTTAATTTCACGCGAATCAAGCTGAGGAAGCCTGAGCTGCATGGTTGAACCGGGCCGTGTGCCAGACGCCGGGCTAAAGCCGCACAGTGGTCAGTCTCCTGCTATTCTATGAAAAGATTAGAGGGCTGCAGGACTTCTGAGGACTCTGATTTCTCCTCCAGGTAAAGAGTAATTAATATAACGACACCCCCCCTGACTCCTCTAAGGCCTCTTATCAAAACTCTTTCCTTATCTCTTTTAAGAAATGTAATTAGAAAATCTTTCCACTTAATGATTGTGCAAAATGAAAGTGACATTCAAGCAGTGGATTCCCTTTGGTGATTGTTGACGTGAACTATGTGAAGAGACGATGTTGGACAGCCGGACAGAAGAGCAGCAGTAGCTCAGTTTAGCATTTTTGGCAACAGGGAAATTAGAAATCATGCTGAACTCAAGATCAATGATGTTGCATGAGGGAGGGAGTGTGACAATAAAGTTTCTGGATGAGACAATTGTACAACAATCGAATAAAACCCACACATCCAAACTGGGCTCGCACTCTGCAGGGCTCCAATCAGATCCAGAGATGTATTTCACCGCAGGGTCTTTTTATTTATAAAGCTCTCAGAAACATTACCCTCATACCTGACAGACACTTTCCTCAAGGTGTTTACTGTTGAAAGTTCCTCGAGTCAGATCGGAACTGTGAAAATCTGCTTCTTCTTATTCTGTCTCTTGGAACAACATGCAGCATCTTCTTGAGGGAAATTAACCTTTACCTTTTGGGCATTTTATAAACTTGATTTTAAGCCTCTCAACCAACCTCTGTTTGTAACTGTTTTACACAAGTGTGTTTATTTATTGCATTAAATCGCTTAAAGGCTTAATATGCGTAATAGATATTATATAAATTATATAAATATAATATAAATCAAGTTTATCCTCTGAAAATAACTCTGTGAGTCATGACTGTCTACAATGGGTGTAACACCCGAGTCCCACTGTCTGTGATGTTTTCAGAGTTTTCAGAGTCCTATCTTCACTTTGTTTACATCGCCAGGACAGCCGGCTGACTCCTCCCCTCGTGTATAAAAGTTGTTTAATTGAGGGACTAGAGAAAAGAAGAATAACATACTGTACTCACTGCTTAACTGTGTTTCTAGATCACGCTCATTTCAGGTAAATTTACATGCAGTGTGAAGATACCAGCATAATAAAGATCGCTAGCATTAGCATGCTAACACAACAATGCAATGTTGTCTAATTATTTCTGTAATAACTCGATGTCATTGTGAATGAGGGTTGCCCCTCAATGATCTTTCAAATATAAATAAAGGTTGACATTTCATTTCTGACTTCATCAGACTACGGTCACATTATCTGTGAGTTCATGTGAAGCGTTTCTTTTGAGTGTTTGTTTTTTCATTGTCAGTAGTTGGATAGTTCCTGGTGTTGTATTTAATGTCATCTCGTTGCTGCCAGCTGTCTGCAAAGTGTCACCTCGCTGCTCTTAACCTCACTGAACTCTTGTTTGGGATGTCGGGAGTCTTTTGGGGATACATTCTTGCATCATAATTTAAAGCTTCTCTCCTCTTTTCTGCTTCTCCCCCGATCCCACTTTCTCAACGAGTCGATGTGTCTCAATCACGACTCATCAGCATTCTGTGTTTTCGTCTCGTTCAACATCTTCTGAGTTTCCAAACTGCTGTTTTAATGGTGTCAGGAAGTTGTTACTAATAACTGTGGTCGAGTCTTTTTGATCCAAATTGTTTATAAAAAAAAAAAAACACGAGTAAAGAAAAATAAGATTGACAGTCACTGAAGTTCTGTGAACAGATTTATTTCTGAACAAACAGTTCAACATCACAACGTAGCTGCAATTTTAAAAACAAGATACAAACTGAAATAAAAGAAATGAACCGAAAGATGGCTTCAGGTTTGAGTGAAGCAGAGCATGCTGGGAGAAAACAAAAAACAAAACAGGAAGTCACATCACAAACGCAGCTTCTGAAAACTGTCAGACCAGATCAGCTGATCACACTGGAGTTTAGACTCCTCCTCCTCGTCCTTAACCCCGCCCCCTCCACCCTCACCCCTCCTGCTCCTCCTACCCAAACCCCCCACCCCTACTCTTCATCCTTAAACTCCTCCTCCATCACAGACTCCTCCCCCTTTTACTTGTGTCCCTTGCTGGTCTTGAAGGACACCTGCAGGACTTTGTCTCCAAGTCGGTACCCGTTCAGGCTGTGGATCGCCATGGCTGCCTCCTCGTAGTTCGTCATGGTAACGAAGCCGAAGCCTTTGCACTTGTTGGTGTTGAAATCTCGGATCACTTTCACGTTGATGACGGCGCCGAACGGCCCGAACATCTGCCACAGGATGGCCTCGTCTGCGTCCTGACCCAGGTTGTAGATGAAGATGCACCAACCGGTGGACGAGCTCCCTGAGACTCCGCCCCCTCCACTCATGTGATCCACACTCATTGGAGAAAACCTTGGGTGAAACAGGTAGTACAGTGAGCATCCAATCAGAAAGCAGTATTTCAGTAAACTTGCTCCAGGAAACAGGAAACAGGAAGTGACTTAAATAATTCAGGTTTGTTGTTGTTATTCGACAGGTGAGCGTACCTGAATCTCTGGGCCTGGTGATGAACCGGTCCTCCAAAGCGCCGTGGTTGGCCATGATACATCTGTGACGTCATCTGGGAATTCCTCGCCTGATTGGGGTTTGCGGCAAACTTGACTGTGATTGGCTCAGAGCTGCCAGGGGGGGTGTGGCCGTTCAGGTGCTTGACGGCGTCCTCGGCCTCGGCCCTCTTATCAAACCGGATGAAGGCTACGCCCCGGGACAGACCTAGAGAGCCAATAAGATTGAAGGGGTAATACAGAGTTAGTCGAGGACTGAGGGCTGTGATTGGTCGATGATTGTGTTTACTGAGAGCGTGAAGTACCGGAGGCCTGGTCCACCAGCACTCTGGAGTTGATGATGTGTCCGAAGCGGGTGAACATGTCCTCCAGGTCCTGCTGGCTCAGATTCCTCGGCAGCCCGCTGATGTACAGATTAGCGTCTTTGATCGTGTCCGAGCTCGGCCGCGCAAACGAAACCTGCATGGAGGAAAACAGGAAGTGCTCAGTGGGTCACCATGACAACCAGATACAATTCAAATGAATGAAAATAATACTGAATAAAATAAAGTTACAGAGTTTTTTAAATTAAATCCAGACATTAGAAGAAGTATATTTAAATTCTCAAATGTAAAAAATAAAAAAGGTTCCACATTTCTCAAAATAAAACAAACAAAAAAGACAAAATAAAAGCCTCTAAACAGTCTTAGAGCATTAGACAATCGTAAAAAATAAAAGCATAAATTTAAGAAAATAAAAGCTTGTCACACTGTCACACTGAACTGAAGTAATTCACAGTTTCGGTGTGGACAAGTGTCAACGTTTAAAAAACAGGCTGAGAATAATTACGGAGTCAGAAAAAAAGAAACATGACAGCAGAGTTTTCAAAATACCTTCATCCGTCAGACAGATTGCAGGAGAGAGAGCGCCCTCTACTGTCCAGGGAACATAACACATCTATCAGTTGAGACAGGAAAATCAAAGAGCACCTGTTGCACATTACCTTGATAGTTTTAGACTGTAGCCTCAGGCCATTGAGGGTACTGATAGCCCTCTCTGCATCATTAGGGTTAACAAAGTTAACAAAGCCGTAACCTAAACTGTGGCCTAGAGAAACACAAAGGAAAACAACAAAATAAAAAACAAAACTGTCTGTTACAGAAGCTACACATTCGGGTGATTCACAAACTGAGAGACAATAAGACACAGAAAAATCTCCACAGCGTTTAAAAAGTGACTTTGTGTGAGAAGTTGTTCTGAACAGACCAAGAAAACCCACATTGTTTTTAAACACTTAATTTTTACTCAGAGTGAGACCTCCTCCTCAAAATGAGACCTCTTTGATGATGTCTTTAAAATTGTAATTTTTTTACTCAGAATGAGACTTCCTCTACTGTCTTTGAACCCTGAATTTTTACTCAGAGTGAGACGTCCTCCACAGCCTTTAAACGCTGAATTTTTACTCAGAGTGAGACCTCCTTCACTTGTCTTTGAGAGCTGAACATTTACTTGTGGAGTACATATTCAACAAACTAAAATATCCACATTAATAAAGAAAAAAATAAATGAATATAAATATGCAGAGATGAAACCGAACATGTAACTTCAGTCGACAGTTTTCTTAATGTGTTCAGAACAAAAACTTCAAACATTAATTAAAACTTTACAAACATTTTTCAAATCCTGAAAAAAAAAATGTGAAAACAAATTCAACATTTTCAAAATGTAATTAGAAATTTAAATATTTAAAACAGTTTGTCACAAAAGATAACTTTTTATTTCACACCATAAATAAATAAAAGTTCATGTTACTATAATATGATGTTTAGTAAAAAACAAAACCAAAAAAGAAGAAAAGAAAAGTGATTATTGACCCGTACAGCCAAACGCTGAACACAAAAATGACCATCAGATACCTGTGAAACAGTCAGACTGAGGTCATTATCCTGGTGTGAAAAATAACAAAACATTACAACAGTGAGGAAAAAAATATATATAATCAGTTAAAAATCACAGATTCATCTTTTAAAGAAAAACAGAGCTATTAAAAAAAATAAAGCTTATTGTTAGAAAAAAACAGAAAAAATAAAAAAATCAGAAATCAAAAAAGTGCTGCAGGAGAGAGTACAGAGACAATCCTGCAAAAAGTACGACTTCACCGCTGCTACTGTTAGTGCGACCACGGCTGAGCTGTCTCTAACGTTAGTGCCGTCAACAGATTAATAAAATGTATCTGATCGACTGAAGGCTTCTTGATTTATGATTGGGATTAATCGCATGTTATCAGAATGTGAGAAGCATCACAGGTAGACTGACTGCATCGTCTGACTTCTACGTTTTAAATTGAACTCTTATTACTTTATTCTGACCAAAACTGCAGATTAAAACACAGCTGCTTGCCCCGCCCCCTCATCTGTGTGTGGATTTTTGAGAACGGCAGATAAGACTAGATTTGATTTGATTTTTGAACTGGAAAGATTTGATCTCAATTAATGCACACAGAGTTTCAAAGTACCTGAGTGTGTGTGTGTGGACCCCCCTCTCTACAGGTGGAGTAGGGGGGGGGGAGACAGAGCGAGGACAGATTGTTTACTTACTAATCTTCTTGCCACTGTTGGTTGCGAATTCATTTTTGTTACTTGTGTTTTCTTAATTGCTTTTTATGTTATTTTGTGTTTCTAACTCTGATGGTTGTGTGTTGTTTCTTTGCGGGGGCGGACGGGCTGGGTGAGAGGTGACACAGGCCCTTTCCAAAAAGCCACAGTTCTAGACTGAACCCTCGCGGTCACTCAGTGGGCATTTTTTTGGGTCCACCTCAGCAGACTGAACAATTCAGGATGGATGCTAACTTCCGGGTTTTGTGCAGTATGGTTCGGATGCATCCTTTCAGGAGATAAGTTGTATTTTTACACCCACAATGCTTTGCAAAATTAAATGTAAAACGTCACTTCATGTGCGCCACAAAATCAAAACAAACGAGGATGAAAAGAAAAGAGGATGGATGCGGCCAGTTCTGGGAACGCGCCTGTCTGTATCACACTGTACGGTTTTGTGTTTGAGCCCTTCAAAAACGAGGTGGTTCATCTCAAAGGGCCGTCCATCAATAAACAGTTTCCCACTAACTAAAATACTAACACATGATTTTAACATGTTAACGGACTGCTGCAGACATTTGTATGATTAATGATCTGTGACGTCAGAGTGTCTTCATTTTGCCTCAGGTTATCAGGACGGTCCGAACTGAAACTACGACACCTGATGAAGCGGTACTATGAAGTAGACTTGATTTACAAAGTGAGTACAGTTTTAAATACTTCCCTTCTGTGCCATTTGAATTAAATAGTCAGCGTACACCGGAGGAACAGAGTGCTACTGAAGGATTATTCTGTCTACTGATTGGTACTGCAGGAGTACCTCAGAGTGTGAATTAGTGTTTCATTGCAGGTGAAGTGATGTTGGGGTGTACCTGCAGTATAAGGGCCTGTGTCCACTAAGGCTGCTTTTAGCACTGGCAGCGCCCATTTTAAAAAACAGAACTAGTGTAGTTCAGCCTCATCAGCGTCCAGAGTGCAAAAACATCCTCATCGCCGACACGCTCTCAGATGAAAACAGCTCAACTTATGAATCACTGACCCGCTCTTCAATGTGACTTCAAGAAGGGGCGGGACCTCTGATATCAGCTTTGTCAACAACAATGCAGGAGGGGGAAATTGATCTGACTCGTCTTTTCAAAGGGGGACGATTTCCACGTGTAGAGCTGCTGCGGATGCCAGGACACGACTCATTTACATGTTTTCATCTTGGGGGGGGTGAGGTTAACCTTCGTATCCTGGCAACAATACGTGCCAGTGAGAAGCGCTCTGAAACTGAGATTGAGAGCGGTGCAAGCCCCAAAAAAAGACGTTTGTGGACACGGGCCCTTAGTGTAGAACACCTGCAGTACTCCTACCTGCCGCTCTGTCGTGGACGCGTTCGTAGTATAAATGTTGTATATTTGAAATACAGATTACTGCAGTACTCCTACCTGC